CCCTCCCCTCCCCTCCCTCTCTCCCTTTCTTTCGTGCTGGCTTCATGCATATGAGGCAAGTATCCTTCAGTAAGAATCTTAACTTGAAACAAGAGCTACAGCATATATGACATGACCACATGTTTAAGATTAATTATTCTGAAAGAATATAGAAGATTAATGGCTTTCCATTCTATGCATTTAAATAATAATTTGGATGGTGGTTTCAATACCTATAAGAGATTTAACCCAGATATGACTTATTTTCTTTATTTCTTTTTTTTTGTTTTTTGTTTTTGTTTTTGTTTTTTTGAGATAGGGTTTCTCTGTGTAGCTTTAGAGCATGTCCTGGAATTCAGTCTATAGACCAGGCTGCCCTCGAACTCACAGAGATCAGCCTGCCTCTGCTTCCCAAGTACTGGGATCAAAGGTGTGTGCCATCACCACCTGGCAATATATATATATATATATATTATTTGCATTGTTGTTTTGCTTGCTTATATGTCTGTGTGAAGTTGTCAGATCTTGGAAGTTACACACAGTTGTAAGCTGCCATGTGGATGCTGGGACTTGAACTCAGATCCTCTGGAAGAGCAGTCAGTGCTCTTAACCACTGAGCCATCTCTCCAGCACAACTTATTTTCTTAAACAAGTATGTAGGATATCTGCTCCTTGTGTTTATTCTAGGTTAGCCATGCTTTGTAGTGATGAGTCTTTGATGTCCTAGTATGAATTTTTAAATGTCTTCTGCCTTAGGAGAGTGACTAGAACATGCTGCAAAATGATCGTGTTAGAGTGGCTTGTTTTGCCAGCCTTTTATCTGAGCACTTCAGTCTTTATAAATATGATTTTTCCTGGGAATACAGGGAATGGCATCAGTGGTTGACTCTTAGATCTTTTTTGTTTATTACTTGTTAAGTTTCTTTTAAAAAAAAATCTGTAAATCTTAACTACAGCACTTTTTGTCAGAGGTATTTTGGCTGGAACAGGACGAAGACAGATGAGTCCCTTTTTCCAGTACTAAAGCAACTGAATGTCCAGCAGGTAACTGGATTTTCTTTATGTTCAGCATGATGACTGCAATTAGTAGGATGGTTGCTGTTAATGTTAAGTTAACTCTTATTTCAGGGCAAGTAACTGAAGGTTTGAAATGATGACACCTGAAAGAATAGACTAAAACAGAAGGGCAAAATTGGGCCCTGAGTCCATTTTTTAATATCACAGTTAGTGCTGCAGTGTCCTTATTTATGCTGACTTCGAAAATATTCTAGTTTAATAAATGGTTTCATAGTAAGATGTTTAAAATGAAATGTATTACTCCTCTGGAGCTAGCTTCAATTTTTAAAAGCCCAGGAAGTAGTCACTCCAAAACATTAATCATTCATGCTTCTTCAAACACTAACATTTCAAGTTACAACTTAAGGTCTGGTCTTTATATTAACATTTCTGCAAAAGAGGTTTTTTAGGAGGAAAATGCCCTTTTGTGTGGCCTTCAGTTCTTCTAAATGTGTGTTTATGCTTGTCTTATCTGTGTGTCCTGCTGACATCAGATAAGCTTTCATCCATCTCAGAAGCCCCTCATAAAACATACATGTAAAAAGAAATGAGACTACAGTTTTTAAGACAATGAAGTCAATTCTCATTAAATTTGGGTAATTTAGGAAAAAAATCCAGTACATTTTAAGACTATTTTAAGACTATTCCCAGGGGTTCCTCCTGTTTATCTGATGACTTTTGACTACCAGAAGTAGAAGCCCACTAAGATTGAAAATATTTTCTAGTGACTGGTTATTCCTTAATGTCAGATAAATGCAATTATAATATATTTTCTCTTCCTATTATGCATTTTTTCTCTAAAATTAGAAAGTAAAGATAGTAGATTAAAACTACTACCTCCTTCCTAATAGTTGTTGACATGCATTTATTTTCCTTGCTTTCCCATGTTAATTTGTTCTTCTACATAAATACCCCTTGATAGAGTGGGTCTCCTCTTTCTCTTGGCTCATCAGCGTACTCCATCTTCTGTGGATTGCATTGCTTTTTATAGTTTTAGAGAACCAGCTTATGTTCCATAAAAGAGTTCACATTGGCTCTGTTTCTTTTTGGGACTTTAGTTTCGGGTAGTTATGAATAATGCTGTTATACACACTAGGTTTAAGAGTATCTTCTCAGCAGGGTATGGTGGTGCACACCTTTAATTCTAGCACTAGGGAGGCAGAAGCAGGTGGATCTCTGTGAGTTCCAGGCCAGCCTGGTCTACAAAGCAAGTTCCAGTACAGCCAGGACTGTTACACAGAAAAAATTCTGTCTCAAAAAACCAAAACAACAACAATAAAAAAGAGTATCTTCTCAACAGTGGATTTGCTAAACAAAAGGCTTGACTTGTTTCCTGCATGGTTTTTAATGGCTCCTAATACATCAGGGAACTTGTCCCTTGAAGGCACTGTATGATGATAATGCTCTTAAAAGAAGGGCATTGAATGACTTAGACATAGACTCTGAAATTCTGTTGCTGCCAAAGAAGAGGATACAATTGTTCCCCCCCACAAAAAAAAAATAGAGCTAGAACTGCATTATGGGAAGTCATGATTCCGAATTCTCAAAACTAGTAATCCAGTGTGAGTGATCAGATTTGAACTTTATTGATTTGGTCTAGAAACTACTCACTAATCTGGTTTATTGTTTTATTTTATTTTAGACCCAACTACGGATTGATTCCTTTTTTAGATTAGCTCAACAGGAAAAACAGGATGCCAAACACATAAAAAGCCAGAGGCTGAACAGAGCTGTAACATGTATGCTAAGGAAAGGAAGGGAAGAGGCAACTAGTGAGCTGGACAAAGAGGTTGAGGCCCTGGATAAGGCTAAAGGTAAAACCCAAAAACGAAGCCTAATGAGCCCAAGAGAAACATCAGTCCCCCAAAGAAAGAGGTCTTCAGGAAGTGGCGGGTTTTTGGGGGACCCCCACCTCTCAGAATCACCTGGGGATTCAAGTGAGGATGCAGAAGGTTCATCTGTGATGTGCACACGACGGAGAAGAACAGCTGAGTTGTCAGAAGTCAACTGCTCGGATTTGCCTGACGTAGTGAGAGATGCTCACGGAAAGGATGGTTATATGTCCACTAGCAGCTCCAGTGAGAGCGATGGTGACAAAACCAAGGCTGTGCTAGTGACTGCTAGACCTGTATTTGAGAAGAAAAAAGGGAAGCTAAGGAGTATGAGGAAAAGGAAAAGGAAATCCAAATTTTAAAAGCCAGTGATTTGGAAGAACAATGTTTATAATGTATTGAGAATATAAGATTAAATCTATTTGTACAATCTCCATTTTGAATGTGTGGTTTTTATTTTTATTTTATTTTTGGTTTCTAAAGTTTATTAAAAATCAAAGAACAGAAAAACCTTACATGAAAATATGTCCGCCGGGCGTTGGTGGCGCACGCCTTTAATCCCAGCACTCGGGAGGCAGAGGCAGGCGGATCTCTGAGTTCGAGGCCAGCCTGGCCTACCAAGTGAGCTCCAGGAAAGGCACAAAGCTACACAGAGAAACCCTGTCTCGAAAAACCAAAAAAAAAAAAAAAAAAAAAAAAAGAAAATATGTCTATTTTAGCATCTATATTATTATTATCCACAAACAAAATTGAAAGATGATATGTTTTGGTCAAACTGTAGCATAGTTACAGCTGTAGCAAGACCAATTTATCTGGTTCACCATTACAGGGATAGACATGTTCCTTTACCTGTAGATAAAACTTTAAAATGCACATTTGTAGATCACTTGGGACAGTCCCAGCATGGTTCCTTAATGAAGATACAGTCAGTATTGCTACTGTGTAGAGAATAGTACAGACCTATGAATCAATGTTCATAAATACTCCTTACTTTTTGATGTACTTTTATTTTATAAATATTCTTTAGTAACAGGTTCACAACTTAAATAGTTTTAAGTATTTTGGATGATTCAAATCCTCATGAGCTGTAGACCCTGGGTGCTGCTCTGCTCTGGAATGCCTCCCAGAGTCAGCAGCCCCACAACAGGCCTGATGACAGTGAGGGGCAAAGTGTATAGTTTTAAAACATGGATGCTAAAATGGACAGTGTACTACAATTTGTATGGCATTTTCTACTTTATCATTGTTCCTATTGTCTTATCATGTCTGAAGCTTTGAGACCACATTAAGGAAAAGGAAAGGGTTTGTATCAATGAGTGCTCTCTCGATATGCATTCCCTCTGACTCAGACCTAGATGAGAAGAGAAATATCCTAACTTTTCAGTCCACAGTCTGGCAGTTCCAGCAACTCGTGATTCTCTGTGTCTCAGTGTTGTTCCAAGGCAGATAGGAGAGTGCCTTATGCCTGGATCATGGAGGAACATTGTATGGTCTTAGCAAGCTAATACTAAAAAATTTCAAGGGTTCTTTTTTCCTTATGAAATAAATTCATATGTTTGAGATAATAGCAAAAGCAATTTATTATTCAGAATGAATTGGCATATCTGTAGTTCAGTTAGGATTATGACCATCGTGTACTTTATAAAGTAAGCCTTCAGCTCATTTATTTTTTTCTTTAGCTTTATCTGCATTTTGCTGTGAAAGCAATATATTCAGTTCTTTATTTGTATCATCTTAAACAGTTCTTTTAAAGTCTATGTTTCGGTCACCTATGAGTTCATGCTGTTTCTTAGTTTGCCTGGTGAACTTTGGCAGCTGGACTGTGTGTGAAAAACTGGAGAAATTTTTTTGCCTCTCTGTCCATAAGGTCTGTCAAGAAGCAGCTGTGCTGAGGTGACTATTCCATGGTTCAGGTCTCGTTTGTAATCTTGCTAACACTTGTGCTTCTGTTTTCCCCCTCATTCCTAGGAAATGGCTTTCAGGAGAACACAGGGGAGGCTTGGGTGTTTTTCTTCTAATTTTTGTTTTTTGTCTCCTTTTGCTTCAGCAATAAGCCATGTTCCCTGAAACAGTTTAGTTAGCAAACTCTGAGTGTAAAGTCAACACTGAGGACTTCTATGGCCACTCATTCTTTTGGGCTTTCAGTTCCTGGCTTCTTTGCCAGCCCAAAATGTTACTTTGTCTCTCCAGTTCTGTGAGGTTGCCCCGAGTTGTCTGGGGTTCTTGTGTGTGGTCCTTTTTCTGGTTTCTCAGCCTTTTTGTTTCACCAGAGTAGGATTTAATGTTTCTTACTGCTTTGGTAAATGCTTAAAGGAAGCAGGAGGACATATTTAATTTATTGGTATGTATGTTTGACTTGTGAGTTTATGTGAGTGCAGGAGCCCAAGGAAGCCATTAGAGGGCACCGGAACAGGAGATATAGTTGGCTGTGGGTACTGTGAGCTAAACTCTGGTCATCTGCAAGACCTGGTCATCGTCATTGCTGAACAGTTTCACCTGCTACAAAAAGGATTTACTTTTAACAGATTTTGAGGAGATACAGTCTATCATGGTAGGGTAGACCTGGTGACAAGTTTGCTCACATCTGGGCTAGTGAGCAAGCTGGAATTCAGGTTGGGCTGAAACTTCAAGTCCTACCTGTCAGCAACCCACTTTCTCCATTGGCGACCCACCTCTTAAAGGTTCCACAACCTCTTCAAACAGCTGGGGGCCAAGTGTTCAAACATGAGTCTGTGAAAGAACACATATCCAAATTTTAACAACCAATAATCAGTAATACCTAGAATTCTTGGCTGCTTTGATAGCTCTGTGATATCATGAAGCAGAAGTGTGTGCATCTGTGTGGGTGAGAGTATAGCTGTATATGTGTTTAACGTTTGCTTTCTTAATAGAGACAGAATCCTGTAAGGCACAGCCGGAGGCATCAGTCTCCATGTACTCTTCAGTGTAACAAATGATTATTGTCATGTTGGTTAACATAATTGATTTGTGAGTTCTGCATCTTGTAAATCTAGCACTGGGGATTTCATGATCTTTCAAATAACTCCCTGAAAGAAGTAAATAGTTTTTACTTATCAAGTCATTATTCATTCTTGTTTTAAACAGTCAAAAAGGGAGTGTGTCCTCTGAGAAAAATTAACTGCCTTTGCATAGCAGTGTGAATTCTTCAGGGTTTTGGAATTCCAGGAATGTTTTACCTATAATACTTATTCTCCAAGTACATACCATGTACTTTTTATATCCCTGTTTTATAAATGAGATAAGCTAAGAAATATAGTAAGTAGATGGCCCCAAGTCATAAGCAGTTATTGCCATGAATAATGAAAACTGGACTTTGTGATGCCTAGACCTGTCCTGTACATGAAATGGTCTCAGTTCAACTCTGTGTACATCATGGTATAGAAGTATTTCTTAGATGTTGTACTCACATTCCTGAGTGTGCAGTCTTGCTTGGCTTTGATTCTTCCTGTGACATTAAAACTAGTATTAGCAGGGAAAGAGAATTTATGTGTGCCCTGAGGTGTGTAGATATGCTGGTGTGTAGATGCTCAGAGAACCATAACCCAGCCTGCTCATTCAGCCTCAGTGAGAAGGAATAGTGGTCATTTGATTCTTGGGTACAGAACAGTGCTACATACATGCTGGTGTAGTTGTTAGATTTAAAATATGTTTTCATATCCAGTGACATAAAAACTGCATGGTCTCTATTTCTATCATAGCCACAGAGTCTTAGAATAACTCTTGGCATCAGAATTGAAAACTTAGTTTGCTTCCTCTTGTGTAGCCTACAGTCTCACTGTAGGAGTGGTGTGTATTCACGATCTAGCTGTGTTCCCAGGCAGTCATGGAACATTCCTACTTTTCCTCAGCCTTTGCTTTCTGGGCTTTGCAACGTCACTGCTGTGCAACCAGAGGCACAAAAGCTGCAGCTGTCAGACCCTAATCCCTTCTGCTTGGACTTGTTGCCAGGGTATACAGTAGCGAATGACTAGCTCTGGAGACAGCCTTGCAGGCATTACCAGAGGCTTCAGCAGCAAATCACAACTTGTGGATGGTACTATTTCACCTTCTGTAAACTCAGCTAACACTTTTAGGTATGTCCAGCCTTACCATTGACCAAAATACTCCAGGCAGACAGGTATAATAAATACTCCTTTAATGAGAGAAATGGAAAACTTGGGGGGAAATGTCTTGCTATTCTTTTAGCTGTGTGATCATGATTTTCTTTAAATTTGTTTTTTTATTGTGTGTAACTGTAGGGAAATTGGTTTCTAACTTACAGAGGCATGCTACAAAGAAAAAGATGGTAGCTGGGAAAATTACTTGAGATCTTTGGAAGAAAGGAGTGTTGTATTAGTTCATGGAAATACTGGGATTGTTTGTCATGTGAAGTCAAACTGAGAAGTAGATATAGCTAATTGTTTTCAGAGACCAACAGCCCATTTAAGCCATTCTGTTTACCTGCTCTAAGTGAATGGCATACAATACTTGGGCTTGTTGTAAACTGGGGTGATGTGGACTCATAAAGGTAGAAGCTTACCCGAAACACCACCTGATGGTTCAGTTAGTTGGCATTTTAATTTGTTAATGTTACATTAGTGGGAATGAATAGATTATGCACTCATTGATAGATTTATTTTCAGTTAATATCATGGTTTGCACTGTACTGAACCAACCTATATCTTCCTAATGTTGAAAGTACTTATTTAGAATTGATATCTTTCTAGTCAATATGGCAGTTACATCTTTCCTTGTGATGGCTGAGGTCATCTCTGCTGAGGATAACTTTTACTATAACAGTATTTGGTTTCTGATCATGAAGCCATTGCTCTGATTCTGATGGATACTAAGTAGTGTTTATGACCTCTCTTAAATCATGCTATAATATGATGTTTTACTACAAAATTCTCAACTACATCAGAAGTTAAACTGCTACATAAGTATAAGTACATTACTACACATTTTGAATCAATTACTGGCATTTGATATTTTAGTGAATTATGTGCTTATTGTTCAGCAAATGATCAAGAAAACATCAATTAATTAATTCAGCAGCTGATGGATTCAGGATCTCAAAAAGGTAAATAATTTTGTTCTTTTAATTTGACGAATTCAATGTAGAGAAACCATTAATAGAATCTAAAACCTTACTTTTGTAGTCTTTATTAATACCTTAAAGGGAACTAGGGTTTATTAATTGCATGTTATATCTTGGCTTATGTTTGCTAACCTAAAAATACCTTCAGTAATGTTCAATGAATATTGTTAAACACCAATGGTCCTGATGATATATTAGGGATAATTTTGACTGACAATAATAATCTATAGAAGACATAAAAAGATTTTAGAGTTTTTCTTTCATCTGCAAAAATTGACATTTTAAAATAGATGCTATACGACAAGCATATTGTGATTATTTGTTAAAAGTTTGAGAGAGAGCAAAATAGTTCTATATAAAAACTAAATATTTTGATGATGTTTGGATGAAAGATGAATTTAGGCTACAAAGTATCTCCAACATGTATTTATCATCTTGATATTGATTTGATGCAAAAATACATAATGTAATTTGGCTCCTAGAGGTAAGAATTTAAACTTGAGTATTTGAAACTGGCCTACCTTTTCAGTCTTTCTTGACATATGGCTTTTCATAGGTTACTAAATATAATGATCTTCATTGAGACAAAAGTATTAATTCTTACATAGACTAGAAAAATTGCATTTTTGTGGAGTATTTTAACACAGATGAAATTATCTTCCATTTTCTTTCTGTCCCTCTTCTTTATATATACTGTAGATGTTTTCAAATAACTTTTTTCTTTGGGCCACACCAGGCTTAACAGGTGGTTCCTACCTAGGTGAGCATATTTGCAAACAGACAGAGTTGGGTGCAGCCTACCTAAATTAAATGCCAATGCTTTGCAAACCTAGAGGTTTAGGTTATAATCTCATAGAGAACCTAGCTCTTCATATAATTTGAATGCAGATGTAATTTCTGTGTTATATAAATAGAATTATGTCATTTTCATAGCCATTAGTAACAATTCTTGGTTTCAGATGTGCACATGATGATTTGGCAAATTACAACTGAAGTGGGGGTAGTTCAAAATGAGTTTGAGATAGAGCAAATGTTAAAATATTCTACAATAGGAGCAGACACACCCCACAATCATCTGTGTAGCTAATTACAAATGCAAAAGTACGTTTAGATGCAGAGTGCTAAGGAGATGAAGTGTGTGCTGCTGTAGCCAAGCCAGATGATGTTTTGTTGGCAAGGCTTCCACCAAGTAGAAGAACACTGGGTTCTCAAGTACTGAAGGATCTTTATCTGTCCTGTCCTTTTACACTTAGTATTGTGGGCTTGGAAAAGATGGAATAAGACCATAGTTCAGTCCTCATATTTCAGTACTTGCAGGAACATCTGAGAATTATAAGATGCCACTTATTTATACACAGATTGAAAGTAGAACTAGGATGAGGGCTAAAAATTCCTCCCTGTAAATGTCTAGTAATCTAACTTCTCTAAAGCTTCATTTATCTTAATTATTCTAAATACATCGTGTTGCCTGCCCCCTGCCACAGCCCAGAAAGCTGCTAGTATATTTAGCAGAGTGTTGTAAGATAGCAGTTCCTCAGAATCTTCAGTTGTGGAGCAAACTCCACATCCCCACCCAATATTCCATGATCCCAGTGTATTGTGGTTCCCAAACCTATTGCTTTGGATTTATTTAGGATAAATGGTTGTGGTGGGGAATGAAGAAAGAAACAGAAATGGGAAAGGTTTTAGATCACATCATAAGAGCTCACATGGGAGTAGAGGGAGATGGATAGAGGGTAGGAAGACCTGTCAATTGTGTCAGCTGCAATATAGATCAAACAAAGTGGGCTGATAACAGGATTCCTTGAGCAAAAGTTGACTGCTAGAGAAGGAAGTAAGAGCCTGGATAAAGGCAGCAGCCATAGCAGAGAAGCCAACTAGGAAGCCTGTGCTTATGAAGTGGTGTATGTCACCCATTGGGGACAGCAATTGTCATTGAATAGTGACATCCAAACTGAAGTTTTGGAGACATCTGAGGTGGATTGGATTGGTAAATTTAAGTTCTTTTTATCTGACATGTGGAAAATTGGTTTATTTAGCACATATTTATTCAGGTTGCTTTTTTAAACCTTCAGTATGTATTAATGGCTAAGTCTCATGTTATCATTGTATGTTTCCAGCTAGTATAGCAAATATATTGCTTTCGACTGCAGCACCGCACCCAAGCCTGATCCTCAGTGTTAGACCAATCTTGTACAAGGATTCTCTGATTGCAAATGTCACTTTTTTTAGGATGCTTCTCTTGATTCAGCCAACCCACCAGGGTACACTAGGGTACTTCAGAAATGCCTTTTTTTTTTTTGGTAATAATCACCAAATTTCATTGATGTTTATTTAGCATCTTCCCCTTTTTGATCCAAATATCAATTTCTCTGTGCAACAATTTCCATTGTCTTTTTGTTTTCCACTTGTATCTTGAACAATCCCAATAAGAAAAGATTTTTTCTCCTTTAAAAATATAAAATATAGTATTGTTTGGACTGTCTGATTGAAACTAAGCAGACCAAGAGACTGGAAATATTTGTGGAATCTTCTCAGAAGTCAATTTCAAAAAACAAAAACAAAAACCCAAGATTTTGAGCTGCCAAAGTGTTCAGAACCATATCTTTTATGCTAGCCTGTGACAGTTTATGAATCTGAAAATATCTTTAACACTTTTTCAAAAAATCTGCAGGTATTCCTCAAAAGCACTTACCATTCTTCTTTGAATAGAAGATTCAATTGAAGGACAGTTTCCTTCACTTAGTGGGGTGGTTTGTAGTTTAAATTTTGCTGACAGGTTTTCATGACAGCCCTCAAATGGAAGCTTGAATTCTCTTGTCAGCTTTTAAAGTCAGATAGTCTCAGTCTCTCTCTCTCTCTCTCTCTCTCTCTCTCTCTCTCTCTCTCTCTCTCTCTCTCCCTCTCTCCCTCTCTCCCTCTCTCCCTCCCTCTCTCTGCTGTGATCTTTTCACATTTTATATCTCCTGTTGACCCTAAAGATAGAAAAAAGAATATAGACAGACCTTTGCTTCCGAGTCCAGCAACAGAAATGATTCACTGCTGAATTCTTCTCAAGGAAAGCATTATTGAAAGAAATGTGGCAAAATTTTGCTAATTTTCACTTCACACTTGAAATCACTTTTGTTCTCAGGAGAACAAGAACACCTGGTAGATTTTAAATCCCTATCAGCAAATATTAGTAGCTGCAAAATGACACTGACTATTTTGTATGAAAAGTTTTGAAATCGATAAACCCAGGAGAGCAACATAATTGCAAAACAATTTCTTCATTATTTTTTAATGACTTTGCTATTCTGGCTAGCCAGTGTGCTCTAGGGATCCTCTGTCTCTATTTCTTAGCATTAAGATTGCATGTGCTCCTCATGCTTTTGCAGCAAGCACTTTATTCGCTGTTCTATTTCCCTAGTCCATATTTTAAATTGCCATATATGATGGATAGACTCTCTTAGAGTCTTTAAGCAATCAGGAGTGGTTGTAGTTGTTTATTATAAACTGTCTTTGAAGGTACTTTATCTTGGGAGTTTGATTTTCAATTATAATAGAACATTCATTTGTGTTGTTGAAATTTCATTCTATTATGGAAATAAAATTGTCACTATCAAAAAGAAATTATCTGCTCTGTTTATTCAGAAAGACAGTGAAAAGTCAGAGACACATTTGCCGTCACCCACTTGTTAGACACAGATATGGTCAAACTAATCTTTAAAATTACAATAACATGCAAAGTCAGATACATCAGACTCTACCAGCAAATATTCACAAGTAAAGCTTTTATATCAAAGATTGGAGCTCTTAGGGACTCTCCTGGGGTTTGGTATACTCTACCATTTATTGATCCCTAGTGTCTTAGGTGACTTGTCAAAGGAGTGCTATCTTTATGAGGAGTAGGCAAGGATGCCCAAGAGGAGCTATTCGGCTAAACGTCAAGGAAGCAATTAATGTCTGCTTTTTCCTAAAGAATTTCTGCAGCACATGTTGATAGATACCATCACCCTGTCAGTCTCAGCATACCAAGAGCATATAGTGAGGTGAAAGTTAGAGTTCAAACAAAACATATTACCAGTATCATTTGGTTCCTGAATGCAAATGCTTACGGCTGCTTAAGGAGAGTTTCAGATAAATGTTTTGAAGGGCACTGCTCTTCCTGAAGAATACCCATTGTTCATCTTTCTGCTTTCTCTGCATCTCTAAGGACCAATGTTTGTAGGAGAAGGAGAGTGGGGTGGTTGATGTTATGATGTTATGTCTAGTACCAAAATAACAACATAAAGACACGTGACTATAAACAGAGTGCAGGAGTATATTATTGAGTAGAATTAAGTATCCTTGTTTTTTTTTTGTTTTTTTTT